GATGCCAGGGCCAGGGCAAGGTTAGGTGATCATTGGTGTGGCTAGGGGCCCACCTGGGGAGGGACAAGAGGATGTTTGCCTTCATCTAGGCAAGCTGGAACACACTTATATTTGGACTGAAGAGAAGGGTGAGTGTAGAGTAGGAGGTGACCAGACAGAGGTAGTGATGATCCCAGGCAGTGGGTGTTCTAAGGGTGGGAAAGGACCTGAGCTGATCGCTCCACATTGATAGACTCTAGGACTCTTGTCACCAGCCCCAAGCCTATTAGAGCTCTAAAATGCTCTTGCTTGCTTTCTAGCCTACCTGGTGCCTCCCAGCTCCTCCAGACCACTGTGGGTAGCACCTTGGGTGGCTCCAGACCAAAGGTCCACATAAAGTGCTCAGAATAAACAGGAGAGTTCTCCTCCTTTAGCATCCCATGTCTGTGGGAATGTGCTGAGGCTCCTGGGCTACTGTCGATGCTAAAGGACTCAGAAAGGGACAAAATAGCTGTGACCACAGTGCAAGGTTCATATTGTAGACTCCAGAGGCAAAAGTCCTGGAAGAAGAGAGTAGTGTGCTTGATCTTGAAGGATGGTTTGGGCTAGGGTGTATATAGATAGGGTAGGCTGGGCAGGCTGTCTAAACAGAGAGAACATAGGTACTGAAGAGAAAAAAGTATCACAGATCCTGAAATAGTCATTTTGACTGGGATGAAGGAATGCAGAGGAGATCCTAGTTAGTAGTGGTCCAGGTCTAGAGCCCTTGGCTATAGGATTTTGAATGTATTTTGATGGCAAAGTGAAGTGGGCAAAGGTAGCAGGGTACCATTCCCACTGCAGCTGATAGTTGTCATTCATACAGACCACAGTGTAATGAGAGCCCTGGCCTTGCTGAAAAGTGACATAGTCAGGATTCCCCTGAGCAGTAGTCACCAAACTGAAAGATAGAATATGGACCATGTGGACAGCAGCATGAACAATTTCATAACCAACCACCTGGCTGATATTCTCTCATCATCCAACCAGCAGAAATTGTCATACTTCACTATCTTAGCTAACACAAGCTGCATCAATAGCCCAATAATAGCAAACCCCTTTCTACACCATCAGTACCAACCACAGCATCACCATCATCAACAGTTCCAACCTGATTCCAGTGACCACAGCCCTAAGACCTGGCACTTTCACCAGCATCATCCCCCTTTGTTCCAGACATACCATTCTTATCAACCACAGCATCAACAAAACTCCACCAATTCCTACCACCAAGGGCCACCACACACAGAGAGAGTATATGGTCAGGATTCACCTTGATGCTGCCCAGATAGACAGAAAGAGGAACTATAAAGAGGGACTATAGCTAGGCAGTGTTCTTTGGCCACACCCTCCCTCAGGGAGCCATGAACATCTGAGTTTAGTTTGCTTTTTTTGTTTTTTGTTTTTTTGTTTTTTTTTCTCTAGGTGTTTAAAGTAAATAATGGGGCTCAGGGTAGAACGTGTGCTTAGCATATGTGTAAGGCCCTGTGTTCTATCCCAAACACCAAAAATAAAAAAGGAAAGTGAACCTACGCCAAAAGCAGGAGGCAGCTCTGGAATTGTAGACCAGGCTAGGGTGCTCTCAGGGCACTCTCTTTTGGACTGAAGGCCAGGCTATGTGGGTTCTCTTCAATGCTTGCTGGTCTGCTTTTTTTTTTTTTTTTTTTTAAATTTCTGGAGACTCATGGAACTTCATGTAGAAACTGGCCTGGAACAAGAATCCAAGATCCTTCAAGATGCCCTGTGATGTTTCCTCTCCCCTCTCTAGGCCCTGGCTGCTTGGTGTCTGCAGAGAGTGGTCCGGGATAGGATGCCACTCAGCAAGGACCCAGAGTAGCAGGCTCATGTACATGTCCATGTGTCCCTGATATGATCTTTGCCCCTATGGTCAATGATAAATTTTCCTGGGGCCTCCATCCAGCTCCAACTTCTTTGTCTGCAATCTAGGGTTCATTTGGAACTATGGCTAGTGAGGGTTACAGGTAAGCTGTTCTGGTAGTGCATTAGAGCAAAGGGGATAGATAGGCAAAGCCAGCTTCTTCTTTGCTGGGGCTATTTTCATCACTTTTGTCTTGTTCAGCATGCTCTGTTTCCAGTGATCCTCTGGAAATGTGGGATGGGGCCTGGGAGGGACCCCATGTTCTATATCAAACTGTGCCTTTCCATACCTGCTTACACTCTGAGGAGGGCCCAAAAAGCCAATTCAGTAGACTTCAGGGCCTTCAGCTTCTGCTTTGAGGTGGCCACATGATGGGTATGGCTTTCAGGTGCAAGGTGGGGCTTTTTCTGTTTGTTTTGTTTTGTTTTGTTTTTGCAGAAGATGGGTAAGTGACTTCATAGAAGGGCCAAGGCCAACCATACTACAAGCCTGAAAACTAGGCCATACAAGGCCTCCTGTCTGACTTATAAGTCATGAAAGGTCTGGGAGGACATGGATAACACCTTTGCCCCTTCTGGATGGATCCCACACAATGATGGAGAATGTGATCTTCCCTCTGGAATAGTCATCCCACAACTTTCCCACTTCTCCAACTCTTATTTTTCTCCCTCCATTTCATATCTTTTTCTTCTCTCACTGGACGGAGAAGAGTAATTGGATGATATTTTGGTAAGCAGCTATGGCAACTTTGCATTCCTATTTGGGGCAGACAGAGGTCTCTAGTACCTTGCTACTTCAGAGTGGTCCATGGACCAGCAGCATCAGCATCATCAAGGAGCTTGCTAGAAATGTGGACTCAACTTCATCTCAGATGTATTTCAACTGGAAGCTGCTGTGTGATGCTTTCTCTGTTCGTTTTGTTTTGAGTCAGAGCAATTCTGTATAGCCCAGGTTGTCTCCAAATTCACTGTATAGCCCAGGCTGGCCTCAAACTCACAATCCTTCCACCTCAGTCCTCCAAGTGTTAGGGTTATAAGTATGTGCCACCAGCCTAGCTAGCTAGCTATGTGATGTTTTACAAGACAGGTAATGTCTCTAGACCTCAGATTCCTCAACTCTAAAATGAGACTCACAAGGCTAATGATCCAGGGAGGGTGAAAGGATAAAGGGAAACAATGGGGTAATACAAACACTATGGGTACACTTGGAAAAGGGAAGGACTGTGATTCTAATTATTTCCAGAAAAAAATAGGGACTTTAATCAGAGATAGATCCTTTCTTCCTCCATGAGATACTGGTTAAGATTTCAAATCAAAATGACCCTCAGTCATTTTGTCTAGATGGATAAGTTCTTAAGCAGTTGAAGTCTGTTTCCATTTCCTCATCTCATCCTCAAATAGAGTTGATAATACCTGTCAGAGAGCTACTATAAGGCATTAAGAATTTAATGTCAGGCACATAGTATGATGTCAGCAAATGAGTGGCATAGAGTGGGAGACTTATTCCCATTTACAAGAGTTCCATTTGTTTGGTCACTGTTGTTGTAAATACAAATACCAATAAAGGAGCAAAGAATGAGCCAGGTGTGGTGGTACATGTCCATAGTCCCAACTATCAGGAAAGCGTAAGAGAATCACAGTCCAAGCAGTAGAGATGGAGCCTGTTAAAAACAAAAACAAACAAAAATGGATGAGCATTTCTTTGCTTTCCTGTGATTTAAGTGTGTTTGTGTGTGTGTGTGTGTGTGTGTGTGTGTGTGTGTGTGTGTGTGTGCATGCACTTGTTGGGGGATTGTGCATATGGAGATTTATATGTGTCCATGTAGAGGCCAGAGGGCAACGTCAAATGTCTTCCTCAATTGCTCTCTACTTTAATTTTTTGAGACAGGGTCTCTCACTGAACCTGGAGACTAACAGGACAGCAAGTTCCAGAGATCCTCCTGTCTCAGCTTCCCTAATGCTGGAATTGCAGGCTACCACGCTTGTTCTTTTTATGTTTTTTGTGGGGGTGCTAGGAATCTGACCTCAGGTCCTCGTTTAACTAGCAACTACTTTACTGACTGAACCATTTCTCTAGTCTGGATTTAATTTTTATTCTTTGCCCCATTCACAGGGAACAGAATTCTAATACCATCAACCCAAGCTCTGACTGCTCTTGTCTTCCTAGAGCAGTTTTAGGGACAGTCTGGGCTTACAGAATACCCAGGAATTTTACTGGAAACATGAGGGCATCTGGTCTACCTCTGCTGTTATCGCTGGGTGCTCCTATCCCAGGAGTACTTGATCATGCTGGTCCATGCTGGCAAAGTAGCTACTTTTCTGCTTCCAGTTACAAGGTCTTAAAGATCTGCAGGCATTCAGAGCCATGTTCGTATGACTCTTGAATGTGTAGAAAACCACCTAGGGCACCCAGGCTACACAGTGGCATGAGGATCTCAGCTGTGTAGGGTCTGTCTGCCTGTCGTCCAACAAAGGTCCTGCCATTCCCCAAAGTAGTCCATGAAAAGGGGCACAAGTGTCTGCATCCTTGAACCTTCTCTCTCTACCACATTAACCCCTTCTGGTCCACATAGCCTTGGTCCAACTTTGGTGGTAGCTTTTGTCCATCTTCAGATGTACTGTCAGTGTCCTGCGTCCTTTGGAGCTTAAAGCCCAGGTTCTCATTGGCTCTAGAGCCTAGGAACTTCACACTCAAATATCTTATTTTGCCTCTTTCCTCTCTGTCTTTATTTTCTAGAGCATTCCTCCTCAGAGGTAATGCATGCCTCTGACCGAATATATAAGCAGGAAGAGCCTGGTTGATAAGTAAATGTACTTTTCCACTGCACTATAATTTGCCGAGAAAGAAAAACTGAGGGGTAAACATCTCTCCGGGATTGAGAATGTCTCTGACATTGCCAGATCCCTTCATGGTGTCTGATCATGCCCCCCAGGAGGACAGAGGAGCTCTTTCCTAGCACCTGGGGAATGTGCCATCCAACACACCTGGCTCCTGCTCCATGTGCTGAGCAGATGGTACTTCTGCCTACCTCCCTCCATGCAGAGAGCCTCACCAGGCCTGGGGCCCCCTTGACCTGTTGTCTTTTCTGATCCCGCCTCATCAGCACCCCTATTGAGCATGCTCCAGTGTGCACCAGCCAGGCCACCACCCCGCTGCTGCCCGCTTCTGCCCAGCTGCCTGCTGCTACCTCTCCCAATGCAGCCTCGCCATCCCTGGCCACAGCCACTGCTGCCCATGCTGCCATCGCCTCTGCTGCAGCCCCTGCCTCAAGCCCTGCGGACAGTCCAAGGTAACTGGCTCACAGGTGCCAGCCCTGACACTGGGAAAGGGAGGTAAGAAAGGCCCTACCCCTGCTGGGTCCAGGTAATTGCCAAGGCCGGTGCTGCTTGGTGTAGAGTGTGAAGGGGTAGTTGGAATGTATTTATTTCATGAGAGCGCACCAGCCATGGCTAAGGACAGAGACTAGTTATTGCCCTACCCCTCAAGGGAATATCTCTAGTGACAGGTAAAAGTCACACACACACACACACACACACACACACACACACACACACACGCACACACGTGATTAGATAAAAAGGGATAGCAAGCATAGTCCTTGTTCTTGGAACTCAGCTAAGGGAGAATACAATCATCCACATGGGCTGGAAATCAAGAGGAAATCAAAGAAGACTTCTTGGAGTTGGGAACATTGAGCCAGGCAGGTCAGATAGTTTAGCCACTAACTTGTCCACATTCTCCATCCTTTCTTCTCTTCATGGAGAAACATGCTAGCCCAGAGGTCCCGAATGTAGTGGCCTTTAAATCTCTGCCTTAATGCAGAGATTTACTATTTGAAACCTTGAGAAAGTGATGTAACCTCAGGACCTCAGTTTCTTCATCAGTTAAGATGTTTAAAGAAGCACCTGTATATATAGGGCCATGGTGGGAAAAAAGTATACACAAGACCTAGCATGCAAAAACAATACAATAAGCACTTTAAGTTCCTGTATCCCAGCCTGCATCACCGGGTATCCACTAAAGCAGAGGCCAAGGCAGGGGGCCTGAGGGGAGGAAGAAGGGGCAGACTGGATAGGTCACTCTGGAGTGGTTAGTTAGAGCACAGTGTGGCTGGCCCAGTTATCTTTCCAGGCTTCCTGGAGCTGGAAGTTTGGTGTTTGCAGCTAAGACCTAGCTTTCCCAGCCCCTGGGGAGGACCTGCCCCTCTGGGTCAGGGCACATAGGGCCATGGTGCAGCCGGAGAAAAAAGTGGCCTTCCTACCCGCAACCTTTCTCCAGTCCAACTCAACCTTTGGGGATGAGTCTGGCCTTGGCGTCCAGAGTGGTTCTATGACTGGGTTGAGCAAACTGCCTCCCCTCATCCCCTGCCAGACTCTCTTTTCAAGGGTTTTGCTACCTTCCAGAGAAGGAACATTGATAAGGGTAAGAAATGTTCCTGTTGTTGAGAAGGGAGGTCTCCCAATTTGGATGCTGGAGCCACTGAGCAGTCTAGCCCCAACTCTAACCCCCCCACACACACACTCCACCCCTCACTGAAGGGCAGACTCTAGCACTGGGCTTCAGGCCTTTATCCTGGACCTGCCAACCTGCTGCTGATAGCCTGAAACCCTCAAGATATCCTCATTGAGAGTGAAACCTTCCTTTTCATTGCCTTGCCAAGATAGCAAAGGGCTGCCCATCATGACATTGGGCTGCAGCAAGTAGGGTCAAAGGGTGCACTTTGAGCCCAGATACCTCCTCTCTGTATACATGGGCTTGTAAGGAGCTGGAGCTAGAGGAATCCATTGGAGGCAGATGTACACCCAGCCTTTCATCAGACGTCTTCATCTTCTGCTTCCTTTCCTCATGCCAATCCTTGACCTGTAGTTCCCAGGATGCTGGCAAAATAGCCTCCAGTAATGGGCAAGTCTGACCCTGACTGTAACCTTGATCTAATCTGTAACCTTGTCCAGTCACAGTGGAAGCTGGGTAGCCTTAAATACCATGTCTTCTCCATCAAAGCCCTATTCCTCTGGTTTTAGTCCAGAGATCTATCCAGAGAAGAGCAGGTAGAGCCAGGCAAGAAAGACAATGACCTTAATGTGATATAATAGTAAGGCAAAGATGCACAGCCTGCAGGTCTGGGATGCTGACTCTGAGAACCAGTTTACCTTTGTGTTGTCTGGAGTAGCATCCAGACTTTCCTGAATCCACTCAGGTCCTTGGTGGCAGGTTGTTATGCCAGAGCCAGTACTTCCAGAGTCCTAGTAAGAGGGCAATCCCTCATCCTACAACTCTGCCTAGCAGAACCAGTGGGCCATTTGGGGAACAGGTAGAAAGAGCATAGGCAGTCAACAACTGGGGACTCACTTTCTCTACTACCCCATCAAATGACCCATTTGTCTGGATATAGGCAAATGTACCCTTTAGGATATGCAACATGTAAGAAGAGAGCAGAGCCTGTTCAGAAGTGTATTCATTGGTTTTAAATAAAGAAAAGGATTTCACAAACAACCTCGATTGGGAAACACTGAATCAGGCAAGATTAAACAAGCTGCTGAACTCTGGGAGCTCTTGGTGCCTTCAGCTCTTCAAGAGAGAGGCCAAGTTCAGCATTTCCTGAGGGCAATGAACTAGAACACTTTTTCCCAGCTCTTCGCTCCCATGGTCCCTGGACCACATGTGAAAAGAGGCTGTTCTAGGACTCTTGATAGCTAAGCCACAGGGAGGAAGCCACAAGAATTCTCTAAGAAGTAGAGTGGGTTTGCTGGGGAGCTGCTGGGGGTCTCCTGGCTTCTTCCCAGGAGCATTGTTAGCACATTCTTGCTCAGACACCTGAGACTGCTACTCCCTCCAACAACACAAGGAGTGGGAAGAGGAGACCAGGTGGCCAGAGAGGTCCCTCTGCCTTGGTCCACAGTCTTACCACACTCTCTTCTATGAGGTGAGGCAATCTCTGTCCTTCTGTCTGACTGATCTTCCCTATCTCTCTCCAAAGGTGGCAGCACTAACCACAGAGAGTAGCTTTTTCCTCTCTAAGATTTCCGGAACTTCACAGGCTCTGGCAGCTCTCCAAGGGTATTTCTGTTATGTTCCCACCTGGAGATCAGACAGCAAACCTGCTATGGCTTTAGGTCTGAGAGTCCTGATAAATCATTCTTTTTAAAAAAATTTTATTTGTTATTATTATTTTATGTGTATGAGTGTATTATCTGTAGATATGTAAGTGCACCCGTGTGGTACAATGCCCACGAAGATCAGAAGTGCGTGTTGGATTCCCCTGGAACTGGAGTTACTGACTGTTGTTAGCTACCATATGGGTGCTGGGAATCAAACCCTGGTCCTCTGCAAGAGCAGCCAGTGCTTTTAACTGCTGAGCCATCTCTCCAGCCTTCCCCCCACCCCACGTCCCATGAAGTATTCTTGATATAACTCTTCCTCCTTGGTTCCAGGCCTCAGGCCTCTGCCCACGGCCCTGCAGCAGCCGCCTCTCCAGCATCCACTGCCCATACCAGCTACAGTGAGGGTCCAGTTGCCCCTGCACCCAAGCCCCGGGTTGTCACCACTGCCAGCATCCGGCCTTCTGTCTACCAGCCAGGTGAGAGGCAGAGTGGGAGGGAAGCAAGGGCTCAAGGGGTTGTCCCCAGCAGGGGAAGGGCTCAGCTCTCCTTCCCATAGTTGTAGGCTAGAATCCTATGGAGATGCATGGGAGGCAGGTGAGCAGTGCCAGACAGGGATGAGGTTTCTAGCTCTTAGGAAAGGGAATATTCTTGCCTGGAGTCTAGAGTCAAGGTGAGGGAAAGGGATGAGAGGGGGCAGAGATAAGCAGCTGTTTCTCCATGAATCTGGGTCTGCCTTAAGCTGGAAGAGAAGAAGCTATGAGAAAAATGCCCAGGGCTTTAGGTCAACTTACTGTGTCACAATGTGGGCAAGCTGTTCAACCTGTGAAGTGTGTGGTTTCCTCAGCTGACACTGGATAGATGGGGCACATGTGACAAAGCAATAGAGGGCCCACCATGAGCCAACAGAACACACTGGTTGTTATTCTATCTCTCTGTGTCCTTTCTCGTCAGTGCCCAGTGTTTTTCAGGGATTAGAGATTAACCCTATGTCTCCGACTTTCCTAGGCAAAATTGGTCTTTCATAGCCCAAAGGATAGATTTCATCCTCCCATGGCAGCCTTTGCTCCAAGAACCCAAGGGCTCTCTAGCAGATATTTTCCCAGGTTAGAGGAGGGCAACTTGTACCCCGGTGTATAGGCTGTGCTTGCTTATAGGAAGATTCTTGGCACTCAAGCCCTGAGTCTCCTCACCTTCCCCTCCTTTCTGTCGGATTCTGACCCTGAACTTTAGAAGGGCAGGGCTGTGGAAGATGTTCTTGGTATATACCTGACTTGGGCCTGTCATGAGGAGATACTCAGCAAAGGTGTAGAAAATGCAGGAAAGAATGGGGGTTGTAGGTGCTGGCTCCATGATAGAGCATATGCCTAGCATGTATGAAGCCTTGGGTTTAATCCCTAGCACCACACACACACACACACACACACACACACACACACACACACACACAAAGGCAGAAAGGAAGGGAGGGATAAAGGGAAGGGAGGAACACAACATAGTGTGACAGAGAGAGGCCATAAGCTTGCATTCTGTACTCTGACAGCTATGCACACACAGGCAATGGGTCCTAAGTGTTCCCATAGTGCTCCCTTGGTGCCATTGCATTGACTGATAAAATGGGATTTTTAAGTGGGCACATATTTCCCATCCAAATATTACCCCTTCAGCATAGTTAATCTTCATTTTAGCAAGCAATGATGATTTTTGCATGTATAGTTATAATACAATGCTTCTCCAAAAAAATAATATACACGTATAATAGAATTTTTGTTTGTTTGTAGACAGGGTCTCATGTAGCCCAGGCTGGTTCCTGATCCCTCTACTCTGACCTCCCAAGTATTGGAATTATAAGTGTGTGTCACCGCTCCCAGTTTTTTAAAAAATATTTTATTTTTATTTTCTGTGTATGAGTGAATTGCTTTCATGTGTGTAAGTGCACCTGTGTCGTACAATGGCCACAGACGTCAGAAGAGGGTGTCAGATCCCTGTAACTGGAGTTACAGACAGTTGTTAGCTGCCATGTGGGTGCTGGAAATCAAACAAAGGCCCTCTGCAAGAGCAGCCAGTGCTCTAAACCACTAAGCCATCTCTCTAGACCCCTAGTTTTGAACAGATTTTTTTGTTTTGTTGTTTTTTTGTTGTTGTTTGTTTTTTGTTTTTGTTTTTGTTTTTTTGAGACAGGATCTTTCTGTACTCCAGCTGGCCTGGAATATAGACCAGGCTGGCCTTAATCTCACAGAGATCCACCTGCCTCTGCCTCTTAAGTGCTGGGACTAAAAGTATGCATCACCATAACCGGCTTTTTAAATAGACATTTTAAAGAGCAGTTTTCAGTTCACAGCAAAATTGAGTGACCAGTGTCATTTCCCAACTACTTCTTGTCCCTCAACCCCGTTGACAGACCCCACTTTTTAGTGTCCCCTACCAGATACACATACCATGTGGTAAACTGATGCAGGGAGGCAGTTACAGACTTATTTGGGAAAGAGATGGGTCATTATAAAGGATATGGAAGAGGGACAGAGAATGCCTTCATTGTGTCCTATATGAGTGAACTGGCCAAGCAGCCACGGAAGTAAAGAACAGCACATATAGGGGCTGGAGAGATGGCTCAGGGGTTAAGAGCACTAACTGCTCTTGCAGAGGACCCAGGTTTGATTCCCAGCACCTACATTGTGGCTAGCAACTGTCTGTAACTGCAGTTCCAGGGAAATCTGACACCCCCTCTGACCTCCGAGGGCATTGCATGGCATGGGTGCACTTACACACATGCAGGCAACACACTCATACACATAAAATAAAAATAAAATATTTTTTTTAAAAAAAGAACAGCACATATAAAGTTTAGAGTCCATAAGTTACAAGCAAGAATCTAGGGGTTCTTCTCTGAGGCTGGAGAGTGAAGGAGGTAAGAAAAGGTCAGGAAGGACCTTGCTTAGGGGAGTTTCTATTTGACCAGTGGCACAAAGGCAACAGAATCAGTGCTCTGCCTTATAAAGTTCACTCTAACAGCAGAGTTGAGTGTGGACTGGAAGAATTTTAGCATGGGACACCTAGGCTGCCGCGGTAGGCAAATGACCTCATGTCTCAAGCCTGAACTTTCTCATTTGAGTGTGACAGAGGCCTATGTACCCTTTATGTCCAGGAGATGAAATGAGGTCCCTACTTTGATGTCTAGCACACCAGGAGAGGGGTGGAGGTGCCATTCTCTGTTCCTTCAAGGCCAGAAAGTTCCGCGGTCAAAACTCCACAGGCTAAAATGGTATTTTGGAAGCGGATCAGTACAAATTTCTGATGTAGGAGACAGAATGGCCATCCCTGCGCAGATGGGGAACAAAGGAAGGAGCTTGGAGAGAGGATTGGAGAAGTGTAAGGTGCAGGTGAAGACTTGCACCTGCACAAGGAGGTCCTCCTGTCCAGTCCCTTCCAGCATCTTCCCCAGCCTGTCCTCTGCAGGTCCGCCAGGGGGCGGCCCAGTTTTCCAGCAACTTCCCGGGCTGGGGTCCAGGCGAGAGAGACGTGCCGGAGCCTCAGGCCTCCGCGCGGTTCCCAGGCGGTGCAGACGTTAACTCATTCCTGCCTGGAGCGGAGGCGCGGCCTGCCTCCACCCTCCCTTCCCGGGGAGGCCCGGCTGCCCACCGGCTGCGGGGGCGGCTGGCAGGCGGCCAGGCCGGCGTGGAGTACGGGCCGCGTCCGGCTGGGCTCTGGGTTCCGGGACCCGGAGCGGCGGAGTACACGACGCCGGCATGCAAGCATTCAGGCCCGGTTGTAGCTCCCCGCCGGCCCGGGCAGGGCGGCGTTCGCGGTCTCGATCTTATCGCTGGCGCCAGGGCCGGGCGTCCGTTCCCCAGAACACCTGGGGCCCCCGCCAGGCGGTGGGCGGAGGGGACCGCAGGCCCCGGGAAGGCCACGTCGGCCCGCGGCCCGGGCGGGGACCCGGGTGCTCGCGGAGAGCCGGGCCCGTCCCGCAGTGACTCAGATCACCTTGTTTAATTACACAGTCCCGAGGCCGACGAGTGCGATAGGGGCCTTTTGAACTTGCCAATTAGAGATGAAATATCACCTTCTAATTTGGACCGGCTTAATTCCGTCACGCAGAAATAGCAACAGCCCCGGGGCTCTGAGATGGGATATCAAGTCTCTCTCGGCATTCGGCATTCGAGAGGAGAAGACTAAAGGACGCAGGGAAACAGTGAAGCAGCCACAGCTCCCACCATCCACTGGCCTCTTCCCCAGGGAGCTGACAGGTCGGGCCACTAGAGGGGAAAGGCCTCTTCTGGCAGTCTATAGCTCCCGAGGGCAAGGAAGCAGCTAAGTCCTGCTCCAGATTCCAGCCGGCCTTGACTTGGAAGAGTTTGGAAAATAGAGGTGGTTCAGCGAGTCACAAGGCCTTGAAGGGAGGAAGGGAATGTCTACAGTTAAGAGTGGTTGGAAGGAGAGGCCGTAGGGTGGGCAAGGGTCCAGTTTACTTGAAGGGGCATGCTGAAGCCTATTTTTCCATCGAAGTAATGTTTATGTAGGGATCTGGAGCTGGATAGGGTGCCATGGTGCAGCTAGGGAGCTTACTAGCCGGCCACCCTAGAGTGGCCACTTAAGCTCTGCAAGCCCCAGTTCCTCACCTGTAAAATTAACTTGCAAGTGCTCTGTGCCTCATTGTGGATTGTTGTGTGAAATCCTGCACATCAGCATGCAAACCAGCAGTACATGGCAGCCACTCTTTCAATCAGGGAAGCCATCCAAGAGAAAAAAACTTTCTAGTAGTCACATTTTTTAAAAGTAAAAGCAGATGAAATTTAAATATATTTTATTTTATTTAGCTCAATATACTACTTTTTTTTTTTTTTTTTTTTTTTTTTTTTTTTTTTTTTTGGTCTTTTTGAGACAGGGTCTCCCTGTAGCCCCAGCTGTCTTGGAACTCACTATGTAGACTAGGCTGGCCTTGAACTCAGAGATCCACCTGCCTCTGCTTCCCGAGTGCTGGGATTAAAGGCATGTACCACCATGCCCAGCTTCAATATACTATCTTTTAAGATTTGTTTTTGTTTTTATTTTTAATTATATATGTGCGTGTGTGTCTATGTGGTTATGTGCATGGGGACTTTAGGTGCCTGCCTAGGCTAGAAGATGGTGTGGGATCCCCTGGAGCTGGAACTACAGGCAGTTGTAAGCTGCCCAAAGTGGGTGCTGGGAACTGAACTCTGGGAACCACTGAGATATCTCTCCAGCCCCATTTTAGTGTATTAAAAATATTTCAGGCTGGGCATGGTCTTTTTGAGACAGGGTCTCCCTGTAACCTCAGCTGTCCTGGAACTCACTATATAGACCAGGCTGAGGCTGGCCTTGAAGTCACAGAGATCTGCCTGCCTCTGCCTCCCGAGTGCTGGGATTAAAGGTGTGTGACATCACATCACACCCAGCTTAAAGTGACTTCTTAATGACTTTGTGAGCCATTGGAAATTGAATTTGTGTTCTCTACAGAGGTAGCTGAGGGTTTAGGAAGACTTTAGAGATTCATTGTCACTTAGTATCAGCCTTCATGCCCTCAAGTGTAAAAAGGGAATATGTAGAAACTGACTCAGATGACCTGCTATGTACCTCACCCACACTGTAAATAGGAGGAAGATTTCAGATGGAGGAGTTCCTGCCTTTGGGAGCTAGCATCCCTCCCAGGATGGCTGTGGGGCAGAACTATGAAGTTTTACGCCTTTATATTCCATCAGAGGCACAGCCCTACCCATCCTCTGACAAAGAGATCCATAGCTCCTTTACATTTCCCAGATCTGAAGGGCCAGTCATCTGGGACTAGAAGGTGTAGAGTTAGAACAGTGAGCCAGAGGCCACCCGAGATGGCTCAGGATAAGAGGTGGGAAATCAGCACTAGAGACAGGGCCATGGTCTTGAGCTCAGCTGGAGTCCAAGGAGGACTGCTTCAACACAGTGCATCCCGCCCAGAATGGGCAGGGAGGCTGCCCTGACATACTCTTTAGGGGGTAGGACAAGACTCTTCCAAGTGGAATAGACCGGGAGCCCAGGTGAGGCTTCTGAATCACCCTTGCTGTAGTAAGAGGCCAGCTGGACCATGTGCTCAGGACACACAGCTAGATTTGCCCAGCTATCTCATGGGGGGGGGGTCAGTGCAGGGGGCAGCAAAAACTTGGGTTCTGAGGCCCTGACAGTTTCTCTACTCTCGGTGAAGGCAAGAAGAGGTTACAATGGAAGCACAGTGCATTCTCTTCCCTGTGCTCAGACTGGTAATCTCTAGAGTGTTATACATACTCTGTTAGAACCAAAGTAATGCAGGGGAGCAGGGGGATCTTGCAGGAGCAGCCAGAGACCAAATGAGCAGCTAGACCTGATCTGCATCATGCTAGTACCTCTGTCTAGGTTTACTGAGTGACTGCTAACAGATAGGTGAGGACCCTCAAATCAACCCAGAACTCCGGGGCTGGAGAAATGATTCAGTGGTTAAGAGCACTTACTGCTTTTCCAGAGGACACAAGTTTGGTTTTCAGCACCCATGTTGGTGGCTCATAGCTGGCTATTAACTCCACCTTTCAGGGGTCTGAGGCACTTTGGCCTCCTCAGGGACTCACATACATGTCACACACACACACACACACACAAATTTAAAAAAAAAAACTAATATTTTAAAGAAGACAGAATTCCCCCAGCACAAAGCTGGTGTAGCAAATGTGCTGGTTGGGATGTTCTGTGGTCAGGTCACCAGCCAGCGCACCAATGAACACACCCTCTAGTCCATGTTGAGTTGACCCACTCTCAGCCGCTTCCTGGTCCAGACACCCCATACCCCTTCTCCCCATCTTCTACAGGACCTAGCCAGTCAAGGCCTGGCAGAGCCCCACCCAGCATAGCTGTAAACATTTATAGCCACATCCCTTGCCCAGGTCTGTGCAGCTCCCCAGGGCTCTGATGTTGCCCTTACTTTATTTCCCTGGGCTCCTACTCAGAAATGAAATCTGGTCCATAAGTTCAGGAGTACTGGACTGGGGCTGTAGCTCAGTGGTAGGGCACTTTCCTATCCTGATTTCATCCATAACACATGTGTGTGAGCTTGTATCCAGAAATGCCTCTCCTTTAAACAGTGGAATTATCGTCTTTTATTATTCTATGACTGGTGTTGGGGGAAGAGGGAGAATGAATTCTTAACACATACTCTTTGGTTGTTTTTGGCTTGCAGTGCCTGTGTCTACCTACAGCCCATCCCCAGGGCCCAATTACAGTCCAAGTCCCTATACTCCCTCACCTGCTCCTGCCTATACTCCCTCTCCTGCACCCACCTACACCCCCTCCCCTGCTCCCACCTACTCCCCTTCCCCTGCACCAGCTTATACTCCCTCACCGGCCCCAAACTATAACCCTTCACCCTCCGGGACCTACAGCGGGGGCCCCTCAGAGTCTACCAGCCGTCCTCCCTGGGCAACTGATGACAGCTTCTCTCAGAAGTTTGCTCCTGGCAAGAACACCACCTCCATCAGCAAGCAAACCCTGCCCCGAGGGGCCCCAGCCTATACCTCAACAGGTCCTCAGATGACCCCTCTTGCCAGGGGCACTGTCCAAAGAGCTGAGCGCTTCCCAGCTAGTAGCCGGACTCCACTTTGCGGCCACTGCAACAATGTCATCAGGTACAGGCTTCGGTATTGGAGTGGTGGGCACGGTGCTTGTTCAGTCTGAGTCCTGCATGGGAGATAGGAGGACAGATGGAGGGAAAAGGCCTGCCATAGGTCCCTTCGACTCTCCATCTGTCTCTTCCTCTGTAAGCTTTAGCTTCTATACCTATGTGACACCCACGTCCCTGGGGACTTGGGAGGATTCCATGAGGTAAGTGGGTGAAGCTCCCAGCTTGGTGCCTGGTGTCAGGAGCTCCCCCTTGGGCTAAGGCTGGGTTCTGAGAATCGTCAGCCTTGTTGTCAGTAGGTTTATTGGGCATATCCAAGCTGGCAGACAGTATGGGTTTTGACCCAGCTTTCCTTTAGAGCTGCTTCTGGTTCTTTCCACAGACAGACTTATGCTTCTCAGGGCATTTCACTGAACTGAAACAAGCCATTTCACTTAGAAGCCGGGGTCTCTGATGATGCTTGCTAAAATTGCAGTATGCTTGTATATATGTGTGGTATGAGTTTACATGTATGAAACATACTCCAAAAACAAGCAAAGGCTGGATGTGATGGTGCATGCCTTTAATCTCAGCACTTGAATGGCAGAGGCAGGCAGATCTCTGAATTTGAGGCCAGCCTGGTCTACATAGCTTGTTCCACGCTAGACAGAGATATATAGTGAGACCTTGTTTCAAAAACAACACAGAGAGATGGCTCAGTGAATAAAGATGCTTATCACTGAGACTGATGGCCTGAATTCAATCCCTGGGACCCACATGGTGAAAGGAGTGAACCAACTCCTACAAGTTGTCCTCTGAGCTACACACACACACACACACACACACACACACACACATTTTTTTAAATGTAATAAACTTCAAAACAGCAACAAAAATGCAGAGAAGAATTAAAGAATACAGAACTGAAAAAAAATAGAGCATGAAGAATTTTTTCCATAATTCCAGTGTTCTGACTACTAATCTGGAACTAGACCATCAGATTTGTATCTTGGGTCTACCACTTCCTGGCCCTATGACTTTGAATGAGTTACTTGACCTCCCTGTGCCTTGGTTTTCTTCCCTGAGAATGGGCCTCATTAATAGTTCCCTTTTCATAGGATTGGTATGAGGATTAAATATGTTAACAAATGTAAAATTATTCTAGAACAGTGCGCAGCACACCATTATTATTGTTCTCATAATCACCTGTGATCAACTCAGTTCTGTCTGGTTCTAAATTCTGGGGCTCATTATTGTGTACTATTGTATGTTGGTCTCTGCCTCAACAGGGGCCCTTTTCTGGTAGCTATGGGCCGCTCCTGGCACCCAGAAGAGTTCAATTGTGCCTACTGCAAGACCTCCCTAGCAGATATGTGCTTCGTGGAGGAGCAGAACAATGTTTACTGCGAGCGGTGCTATGAGCAGTTCTTTGCCCCACTCTGTGCCAAATGCAACACCAAAATCATGGGGGTAAGTGGGCAACATCCCTCTCCTCCGATCCTTGCTTTTTCCTCAACCTGACTGACTTCATCCCTTCCCCTAAAATGGTGGGGTTCCATTAGGAAGTCAAAAATTTGCTAATAACACAGAAAGCAACCCCATTTCTATCTTAGAAAGGAATCGGTTTGTACTAGTGAACTAGGGAGCAAATGAACTTGGGTAAGAGATGATTATCTACATTTACTGTGGGGCTCTGCTAAGTAAGTTGTTGCCTCATAACCTGACCTTACTACTCATCTATTTGTGGCCTTGCCTTTCAAGCCTTTTTGATAAAGTGCCAATATAATAATAATAATAATAATAATAATAATAAGCAGGCTCTCCCTCTTCTACCTTCCCTTGGCTTGCCCAGGACTTACTTCCTGAGCCCTCCTGCCCTGTTCCCTAGGCTACCTGTCAGTGTTCAGGCCTGGCAGAGAAGTCAAGGTTGGCTCTCTTAAATTTTCTGTCCTGAGCACACTTTTTCCCCCAGGAAGTGATGCACGCCCTGCGACAGACATGGCACACTACCTGCTTCGTCTGTGCAGCCTGCAAGAAACCTTTTGGAAACAGCCTCTTCCACATGGAAGACGGAGAGCCATACTGTGAGAAAGGTAGGTGTGTGGGCTATGATGCAGATGCAGTGTTGTGTGATGCCATGCTGTAAGGCCCTGTACCTATGTTCCAGGAATGGTGCCCGGCAGGCATAGAGAACTGAGTCCTGCTTAAGTCTACTCATATCCTACCATCAGGAGACCTTTACTTCTGGAAGAGAAGGTTTTTGTGTTTTGTTTCATTTTCAGCACTGAAATCAAAGCCAGGGCCTCACACATTAGGCAAGTGCTCTGTACCATTAAGCTACATCCACAGCCTCTGTTTTTAATGGCTGAATCATGTTATTATCCAAAGGAAGTTAGCTGAACTATTTTCCCTGCTCATTTAATTTAAGCTTTGTGAAGAAAGGAGTCAGATTCTACAACTTTTAAAAAATATTTTATTTTTATTATTTTAATTTTATTTTATGTGTATGAGTGTTTTGCCTGCATGTACCTAAGTGCACCCATGTCATGCATTGCCCGTGGAGGTCAGAAGAGGGGGTTGAATCCCCTGGAATTGGAGTTACAGATGGTTGTTAGCCACCATCTGGGTGCTGGGAATCAAACCTGGTCCTCTGCAAAAGCAGCCAGTGCTTTTAACCACTGAGCCATCTCTCCAGCCCCTACAACTTATTTTATACAGCAGTTTCTGCTCCCTTCCATATATCAACTATATGAGTCACAAGTTGGTTTCCTAACTGCTTTTCAGGTTATGTTGACCCAGAAACCCAGATCTAGTCTGAAAAAGACCTTGGCCTGAACTCCATCCCGGGTTCTGTTCCTGGTTCCACCCTGAACTTGCTTTGTAACCCTGAGCGAAGTTGCTAAAACTTCTCTGAGCCTCATCTGTAGACACCTGCCTGAGCATCCTTCCTCCCTGCCTGCAGTGATTTTCAGCCTGTGGTGTTCCTTCACATTTTTATAATCTCTCTGTACCCCAGAATGTAATATGTGGACCTAAAATGTGGGAGGTTGTGGTAAATTCAGGAGGTGAAGCACTTTATAGGATAGCCAGGAGTCCTGGCTAACTGAACTTTCCCTTTCCCTCCCTCCTTCACAGCCTGATTCTTTCAGAAAGGATTTTGAGGCAGAGTCCAAAAAAGGGAACACAGACATGAAAGTTGTTAAGATATCAGCACCAGAAAATCGGAAGAGGGAAAACAAGTGTATTGATTATGAAGAATAAACAGTTATGGCTGATTTGAGAACAAAAAGGGCAACACAGTGGACTTTGAAATCAAAAAGAAAACCTCATTCCATTCCTCCATTTCTCACGGGAAAAAGCAAACCTTTTCTTCTTGTCAGTAAATTTTAAAGGAAATTTCTTGGGTGCTTATACCAAGGAATTCTTTTTCCAACTCCAAAGTGAAGTGAATGATTTTAAACAGTCACCCTGTGTCTTAGTCTCCATCTCTGTAAAGGGGAGATGATAACAACTGTCTTTTCCTCTCTTACGAGCATCTGGTGTTGATTAATAAGAAAATTGCTCTTGGTGGGGTGCGGTGGTTCATGCCTTTACTTCCAGCACTCAGAAGACAGAGGGGGGTGGATCTCTGTTATTTCAAGGCCAGCCTTGTCTACATAGTGAGGCCCTGTCTCAAAAAAGAAAAAAAAATGCTTTTATGATTAAATGGCCTGCTATTATCCATCAAGTAACAGCATTATAATATTGGTATAATTTGTGATAAAACACAATTTGTGTCTGAGGCTTATGAAAGAATGATAGAATTCCAAGCTGAGTCTGGTATCACAGAACTGTAACCCCAGCTACTTGATAGACTGGGACAGGAGGACTTCAAGTTCAAGGTCAATTTGGGCTATAGGGTGAGTTCAAGGCCATCCTGAGGAACTTAGTGAGACAATGTTAAAAAAATATAAAGGACTGGGGACATAGCTCAGTGTTGGAGTACTCATTTATCATGAACAAGGTCCTAGGCTCGAATCCCACTACCACACACCCACGGAAAAAGAGGTAGATTTCTATTATCGCCACTGCCCCCTCCATTGCTAACCTCACCACCCCCATCACCTCCTGCCAATTCTATAAAATGACATTTTGTGTAAAAAGGCCCAGCAAGAAGGGAATGGTCTAGTATCAAAGAAAGGCAATGAGGAGGCAGATTTCCTTTGGATGTAGGCACCTGGAGAGCTCTGGCCTTGAAAGATGGGCTAGTCCCAGGCTGTGTGACTGTAGGAAGGTACTCAACTCTTCTGAGTTATTGTTTCCTCATACTTCCTTCAGAGGCTATGTAAGGATTAGCCAGGATGATTTATAAAAAGCTCCTAGCAAAATACCTGCCTATGGTATGTGGGCAACAGGAGAGGTCTTTGAAATGACTCCAGAAGATCTAAATCTACAAAAGTACAATTTAAAATCTGCTTCATGGGATGGGGATGTGGCTCAGTGGTAGAGTGTTTGCCTAACATGCTCCAGACCTTGGGTTCAATCTCTGGCACCAGGAAAGTCAAAAAATTTAAAAACCTACTTGCTTGAGCATTGAGATGTTAAAGCAGGGCCATAACACAATCTAATTTTTATTTTAGAAAGAGCACTAGAAATTTAATATGTTCACTGAGTGTAATAGTAAATGATAGTTTTACAAACAAGGTAAAGAAAGAAAGGGCTAGGTGATCCAACAGCTAAATAAAGCCAAGCCTAGTTGGTTAGCCTGCCCTAGAATTGACAAACTGTACCAGAGTTGTTGCTGGAATTCAGTGTTAGAGTGTTTGTTAGCATACTAGAGGCTCTAGGCTTAATCCTCAGGACTGAAAAAAAAAAATCAAATATACTGGAGTCAATCAGTATCATACCATGTGACATTGTACTTGGTTCTGACCTTTTCAATGTTTTTTTGCACTGTAGTAAAAACATATAAAAGTTACTGTCTTACCCATTTTAAATATATAGTTCAGTAAGTATAAGCACAATGTTACACAATCAATCTCTACAAGTTTTTCATCTTGCAAATGTAAGACTGTATACCCATTAAGCAGCTCCTCCTTCCTCTTCTTCTCAGCCCCTAGTAACCCCCATTACAGTTTCCGTTTCTATGAATTTTACTATTCTAGAACCTCATAGAAACAAAATCATGCAGTGTTTGGTTTTTGTGGCTGGCTTATTTCACTAAGCCTGATGTCCTTAAGGTTCATCTATGTTGCAGTATGTGTCAAAGCTTTCCTCCTTTTAAAGGCTAAGAGTCCCCTGAACACATCAACCACATTCTGCTCATTCATCTACATCAATGGACGCTTGTGCTACTTCTGTCTCTTGGCTGTCATGAGTATAACTGCTGTGAACATGAACATGTAAATATCTCTTTTAAAACCTGCTTTAGGGCTGGAGAGATGGCTCAGTGGTTAAGAACACTGGCTGTTCTTGCAGAAGACTGGGGTTCGAATCCCAGCACCCACATGGCAGCTAACAACTGTCCGTAACTCCAGTTCCAGGGGTTCCGACAACCTCTTCTGTCCTCCACAGGCATTGCAAGACATGGGTGCACTTACCTACATGCAGGCAATACACATGAAATAATAAAAACAAACAAACAAACAAAAAAACTGCTTTAAATTTTGGAGCATCCTGAAGTAGGACTGCTGGATCATATGGAAATTCTATTTTTTTAAAGATTTATTTTATTTGTATGTATGTATGTATGTATACATGTGTGTACGTATGTATATATGTATGTACTTGTATGCTGCCGTCTGTGCAAGCCAGAAGAGTGTCAGATCCCCTGGAGCTAGAGTAGGTAGTTGTGAGTTGCCTGACATGGGTGCTGGGAACCAAACTCTGGAAAAGCAGGACGTGCTCTTAACCACTAACCCATCTCTCCAGCCTGTGTTTTTTTGTTTTTGAGATGGGGTCTTGTGATGTAGCCTAACCTGGAACTTGATATATAAACTAGGATGGCCTCAAATCTGCAACTAATCCTCCTTCCTCTGCCTCCCCTAGTGCTTAGATTACAGGGGTAAGCCACCATATCTGGTTTGATTTTTTTTTAATTGCTGGGGATTGAATCCAGGGCCTCATACATTCCAGACATGTACTCTACCACTGAACTACATCTCTAGCCGTATTTTCAAGTCCTCAGACATCTTAATACTGTTTTCCATAGTGGCTGCAAAATTTTACAGGCCCACCAACAGGAAACAAGGGACTCAATTACTCTACATACTCACCAACACTTGACATTTTCTTTTTTTATTATTTAGTAGTCATTCTAATGGTTTGAAGTAATATCTTGTGTTAGCTTGTCATCATTTTTATCAACAGCTTGGAAAAAAACACAGAAAGGTGTCCTGTCAAACCTGCAGATTGAACCAGAGTGCTAGGGTCTAGACTCCAAAACTAGATGGCTGCAAAGATGAGTTGATATTTTATCAAAGATTCAAGTAAGATTGATGAGAAGGCCAACTCTCACACTTGAACTTGTACTGAGCAGTTTTCAACCCTGGCAGGGTGTGATGATCACCTAGGAAGCTTTAAAAACTAGAGAGAAGATGCCAGGTGTGGTGGCACATGCCTTTAATCCCAGCACTTGGGAGGCAGAGGCAGGCAGATCTCTGTGAGTTCAAGGCCAGCCTGGTCTACATAGCAAGTTCCAGGCATTTGGGGCTACCGGGAGACCCTGTCTCAAAAAGACCAAAAAAAAAAAAAAAAAAAAAAAAAAAAAAAAGAGAGAAGATAAATTCCCTGGCCTACCCTAGACCTACAGAGGCAGAACCTATGGGATGATAAGCCTGATAGCAGTTGGGTTTGAGAAGCAGAATTGTTTCTCATAGTATGGGCACAGGAACCGTAACATCTGCATCACATGAGAACTTACTAGATCTTGGGGCTGGAGAGATGGCTCAGTGGGTAAAGGTGCTTGCCACCAAGCCAGAGGACTGAGTTCAATCCCTGGGACCCATGTGGTGGAAGCAGAGAACCAATATCCATTGGTTGTTGTCTGGTTTCTAAACATGCAATGTGGCATGCATACACACACACACACACACACACACACACACACACACAC